AAAAACTTTCACCATCATTCACTCCATCACTGTCTTGCCAGAGGTGCACTTACACTACAGTTATAAAACTGCAACATTAACACCCCTTCTTCAGAGTGCAGGCACTGTACTTCCCATCTCCAGGACTCAAGTTCGGCCTGCAGGTTTCCCTGAATTCCTTCATAAATGTTACCCTGCTCACACTCCAACAGCATGTCAAGTCCTAAAAACCATTTGCCTCCATTCGCTCCTATCTAATATGCTCATGCATACTTGCTGGAAGTCCAAGCCCCTCTCACACAAAATCTCCTTTACCCCTCCCTCCAACCTTTCCTAGGCCGACCCCTAAACCACCTTTCCTCCACTACAGATTTATACACTCGAAGTCATTCTATTGTGTTCCTCCCTCTCTACATGCCCGAACCACCTCAACAACCCCTCCTCAGCCCTCTGAATAATAGTTTTGGTAATCCCCCACCTCCTCCTAACTTCCAAACTACAAATTCTCTGCATTATATTCACACCACACATTGCCCTCAGGCATGACATCTCCACTGCCTCCAGCTTTCTCCTTGTTGTAACATAAGAACATAAGAAAGAAGGAACACTGCAACAGGCCTACTGACCCATGCAGAGCAGGTCCATGTCCCCCCCCCAGATTAGACCAATGACCCCCCCCTCTGGATTAGCCCAATGACCCACCCAGTCTGATCATCTCCACTCAAGGATGGAGCACTGCACCAGACCCAGCAGCACAAGCTAGTCAGGTCCAACTCACACCCACCCACACCCACTCATGTATTTATCTAACCTATTTTTAAAACTACACAATGTTTTAGCCTGAATAACTGTACTTGGGAGTTTGTTCCACTCATCCACAACTCTATTACCAAACCAGTGCTTTCCTATATCCTTTCTGAATCTGAATTTTTTCCAACTTGAAACCACTGCTGCGAGTCCTGTCTTGGCTGGAGATTTTCAGCATGCTATTTACACCCCCTTTATTTATTCCTGTTTTCCATTTATACACCTCGATCATATCCCCCCTAATTCTACGCCTTTCGAAAGAGTGCAGATTCAGGGCCTTCAGTCTATCCTCATAGGGAAGATTTCTGATACATGGGATCATCTTTGTCATCCTCCTCTGTACGTTTTCCAGAGCATTCATATCCATTCTGTAATACGGTGACCAGAACTGAGCAGCATAGTCTAAATGAGGCCTAACCAAGGATATATAGAGTTGAAGAACAACCTGAGGACTTCTATTATTTATACTTCTAGATATGAAGCCAAGAATTCTGTTAGCTTTATTGCGAACACTAATGCACTGTTGTCACCACCCATGCTTACACACCCATATAAGAACATTTATTATAACTACAGTGGATCCCCGACATTCGATGGCATCGACATTCGATAAATCCGACATTCGATGGCATCGACATTCGATAAATCCGACATTCGATGCATTTTAATGCAAAAATTTCGCCTCAACATTCAATGGAAAACCCGACATTCGATACGATTTGTACGAGACGTGTCTACGTGTGGCCTGAACTGCACCGTGTGTGCCAGTGTTTACAAGTCAGCCAGTGTGTGTGCATCTAAGGATACATTCGGTACATTCCATATTATCCATATTTGGTGCTTGTTTCTGCAAAATAAGTAACCATGGGCCCCAAGAAAGCTTCTAGTGCCAACCCTTCGAGAAAAAAGGTGCTATTGACTATTGAAATGAAGAAAGAGATACGTAATTGCAAAGTACAAAAGTGGAGTGTGTGTGTCAGAGTGCATGATGATTTGGTAAAGAAATTGCCTGTAACTAGTGGTGATGTGAGTGAATTTAAGGCCAACAAAGGTTGGTTTGAAAGATTTAAGAATCATAGTGGCATACACAGTGTGGTAAGGCATGGTGAGGCTGCCAGTTCAAGTCCTAATGGAAGGGGATTCCCCTTCTAAACACTAACACCATCCACACTCTCCCCTCTTCCCATCCCATAAATCATCACCAGATCTTTATTAAAGGTAAGTGTCAATTATTCTATTGTTATTATTGTTACTGTAATTATTCTATTGCATTAAACTTAATATTTCATGTGGTAAATTTTTTTTTCATACTTTTGCGTGTCTTGCACGGATTAATTTGATTTCCATTATTTCTTATGGGGAAAATTAATTAAATTTTCGATATTTTCGACATTCGATAGCTCTCAGGAACAGATTAGTATCGAATGTCGAGGGTCCACTGTATACAGTGGTACCCTGAGTTTTGAACTGCTCCAAACTCGAACAATTATGTAAGTGGGGGTCTTAAACGGCCTAATCTAATTTATATTATTCCTTATGGGAACAAATTTGTTCGGTACTGACACATGAACAGCATTCTGGAATGTAATAAGTTCAAAACTCGGGATACCACTGTACTCTCATACATTCCCTTCTTTGTTTCCATGGACAAAGTTCTTTGTCTCCACAGACTCCTTAGTGCACCACTCACCTTTTTCCACTCATCAATTCTATGATTCACCTCATCTTTCATAGACCCATCTGCTGAAATGTCCACTCCTAAATATCTGAATACATTCACCTCCTCCATACTCTCTCCCTCCAGTCTGATATCCAATCTTTTGTTACCTAATTTTTTTTGTTATCCTCATCACTTTACTGTTTCCTATATTCACTTTTAATTTTCTTCTTTTACATACACTACAAAACTCATCCACTAACCTATGCAACTTCTCTTTCGATTACTATTATATTAATGGGGAGAATACTTAACCCATATGGGTCATAGAGCCTGGGTATACAAGACATTTAGGTTCTATCCAATGAAAGGATAGCTCCAATTCCTTGGAAGAGAGTCTTGTCAGCATCAGGTGACCTTTATGGGTAATAGTTTTCCAATACTTTCTTTGATTTTCTTTTATTTTTCCTCTGTTTATAATCATACTTATATTCATGGATTATAATTTGTTTTAATGAGAACAAATTATTTAATTTTCACATGCACTATGTTGTAGAATTTTCTGTATACAGTGGACCCCCGGCATACGATATTAATCCGTTCCTAAGAGCTCATCGTATGCCAAAATTATCGTAAGGCGAATTAATTTTCCCCATAAGAAATAATGGAAATCAAATTAATCCGTGCAAGACACCCAAAAGTATGAAAAAAAAAGTTTTACCACATGAAATATTAAGTTTAATGCACACAAACTGAAGAAGACATGCACAGTTAGTAGTACTCTACTAACAGTAGAATACATGACACTTACCTTTAATGAAGATCTGGTGATGATTGATGGGATGGAAGGAGGGGAGAGTGTGGAAGTTATTGTTTAGAAGGGGAATCCCCTTCCATTAGGACTTGAGGTATCAAGTCGTTTTCTGGGGTTACTTCCCTTCTTCTTTTAACGCCACTAGGACCAGCTTGGAGTCACTGGACCTCTGTCGCACAACATATCTGTCCATAGAACTCTGCACCTCTCGTTCCTTTATGATTTGTCTAAAGTGGTTCACAACATTGTCATTGTAATAGTCACCAGCATGGCTTGCAACAGCTGTGTGAGGGTGATTTTCATCTATAAAAGTTTGCACTTCAAGCCACTTTGCACACATTTCCTAATCTTTTTTTTAAATTCCATACTAATTCTCACCCTTTTTACCACAGGGATGGCACTAGAAGCTTTCTTGGGGTCCACAGTGACTTATTTTGTAGTTACAAGCACTAAAAACACTGGGATAATGTGAAATGTACCGAATGTATGCGTAGATGCGACCACACTGGCTGGCTTGTGAACACTGGTGCTGAGGCCACGCCTGAGGCGAGTTTTTTAACGTGAGGCGAGGCAAAATTTTTCGTTAAAATATATTGTATGCCGGATTTAACGTAATGTGATGCCAACGTATGCTGGGAGTCCACTGTATTTGTTTCTTAACACGTCAGCCATTTCTCACTGAGGCAGGGGTGACCCAAAAAGAAAGAAAATCCCCCCAAAAAAGAAAAAACTTTCATCGTCATTCAACACTTTCACCATCCCTCACACATAATCACTATCTTTGCAGAGATGCTCAGATACAACAGTTTAGATGTCCCTCCAAACTGCCAATATCCCAAATCCCTCCTTTAAAGTGCAAGCATTGTTTAAAAATACCTCTTGTTTCTGTTAAATAATCTTATATCAGATTTTATTTTCTATATTTTGCCTTCTTTCTCTTATCATTATATCATTATTAATGTCTTCATTAATTATAATTATAATTATTATTATTATAAGGCTTACACAACACCTGGGAAATTGGAATCAATTAAGGTTTGATTAGAGGTAGCTCCAATTTGTTGGATCAAGAGACCTTCTCCAGCATCAAGGCTTCCTTGAAAGGAGCTTTCTGTTTTGTAACTTAATTGATTATGTTTTTTCTTTTTCCTCTTGCAAGAATCCTTTGGAATCAGGGCAAGCCTGTTTTCAAAGAGCTAATCTTACATGACCTATAAAATTTGTATATAAAAGCTATTACTGTAGTATATTTTCTAAGTTATTTCAGAATTTTGTGTTAAGCATGAGTTTATTCCTAAATTTATCTTTTGTTGTTAAACTAATTTATGGTAAACTCATTGACTGAACTGATGATGTTGATGTGTCGATCTGGAGTTTTACTACTCACTCACCTCAAGTTCAATCCCCACCCGTGCTGTGGTTTGACTGTACTGATGTTAATATATTATTATTACTATAGTTATTCTTAGTATTCTTATAAAAACAAACATTAAACCCATATAAGCCATACAGCTGTTTATCTGAAAAAGACTATGCTGTCAAGATTAGTGTAAGCACTGACTTGAAAAACTGACATATTATTATCATGAGAAAATGATAAAACCAAAGAGGATCACAGCATTAATTCTTTGGATCAACAGCTTTTTATTGGTATCAAGGCATCTCACTGAAAGGAACAAGATTTTGAAAGAAGCAAACTAGAGGAACATTAAGACGTTTTATGACCAAACAGACATGACTAACCTCTTGTACATCCACTAAGGTGGTCAGAAACGTACATCCACTGTTGTAGTGCACATGCATATTCAAGGTGTTTTCCAGTTTCTGTTGAGAGAAACAATGTATTTTTTTATACACATCAAGGTAGGGTGACCTCCCCACCACCCAAAAAAATTAAACACATTTACCATCGTTAATTTCAATCACCGTCTTGTCAGAAGCAATAACGCAGCTTAGTTGGTTCACCGAGATGCAACATCGTCAAAAATCTCATTCCTAGCTCCTTTCCATCTAGATGGAGATGGATCACATAAATAAAACTTAAAAGAGTGGGATAATGTACTGCAACACAATTATTATTATTATTGCTAATAAAATTACAGCAATATGGTTTGGTCAACTAGAAAGAATCCAGCATGAATCTGACAGCATGTTAGATTGGAGAGAAAGAAGACTGTTTTTTGTAGGGTAAGGGAGAATATGGACGTGCTGGTGCACTGTAGTAAAGAAGTCCCTACAGGTTTAGTTCTCCCCATGATTAAAATAATTATAATGTAGTAATGAAGGTTTGAGATTTGATGAGCACTTTGACCTAGTAGATTACTTCTGTGCTTTTGGCAATAAAAAAATGTATAGAATACTTAAGAATCATCCATGTTAAAATTAAGTAACAAAATTTAAAAAATTACTAATGAGAGCAAGACACACAAAACAAATAATTACTGAAACACCAAGTTAAAATAAACTACATCAGTTAAAAACTCTATTAAATCAGCAATGTTAAAAGACTCCCCCAAACATTGCTGGTACTGTGTGAACAAGGTAACAGTCAAAATTGATTTAGGGAAAATGGTTAGCCACAGTTGATTTCTAGAGGTGGGAAGTACAGTGCCTACACTCTGAAAGATGGATGGGGAGATTACAGTACAGAGGATCATTGGAATTGTGATGTAAATGCATTTCTAGAAAAAAAAAAAAAGACAGCAAGAGAATAGGTGATGGTAAAAGAGTTTCTGTCTTAAGCGTCACTTAATCTTGATAGAAAATGGTCATTTTTTAAATTAATAATACAGTGGTGCCCCGGATTTCGTACAGCTCCCAACTCGAACAATTATGTAAGTGTATTTTTGTAAATGCTTATTTAAGTGTATTTTTGGGGGGTCTGTAACAGACTAATCTAATTTACATTCGTCCTTATGGGAACAAATTCATTCGGTAACGGCACTCGAACAGCCTTCTGGAATGAATTACTGACGAAATCCTGGGTACCACTGTATCAACAGCTAAACAGTTCAGTTGCAAAATCCAGCAAATGCCAGACACTCTCCAAGGATGGTGGAAATTGCACTCCCTGACAGGGATGGTGTAACCCTTTCCCACCAAAATAGGATAAAAGGAAAAAAAAAGTCACAGTCACTCATCTAACAGCATTCTTGCCAAATGAGCGTATTGGTATCACAATTCAAATGATTCTTACAAATGACCTGTAGACAGTTTTAAATAAATTATTATTATTATTATTATAAAAAAGAAGTGCTAAGCCACAAGTTTTAAATAAAAAATGCCATAAAACTTCATTGTTTACTTCTTCTTTCAACAAACTAGCTATATCCCACCAAGTCAGGGTGACCCAAAAAGAAAAACCAAAAGTTTCTCTTTTTAACTTTAGTAATTTATACAGGAGAAGGGGTTACTAGCCCCTTGCTCCCGGCATGTTAGTCGCTTGTTGTTTTCTATCCTCTGCATATTTTTGTTATTTTTAACTGGTAACCTGAAAAGTACCTATACAGTGGACCCCCGCCTTACGAACACATCGTGTTACGTTAAATCTGCCATACGAAGCATTTGAATGCAAAAATTTTGCCTCTCATCACGATAAAAACCTCGCCTTACGTGATTTGTCTGGGACGTGTCCCACGTGTGGCCTCAGTGCCAGTGTTTACAAGCCAGCCAGTGTGGTCGCATCTACGCATACATTCGGTACATTTCACATTATCCCAGTGTTTTTAAGATAAGATAAGATTTCGTTTGGATTTTTAACCCCGGGGGGTTAGCCACCCAGGATAACCCAAGAAAGTCAGTGCGTCATCGAGGACTGTCTAACTTATTTCCATTGGGGTCCTTAATCTTGTCCCCCAGGATGCGACCCACACCAGTCGACTAACACCCAGGTACCTATTTGCTGCTAGGTGAACAGGACAATAGGTGTAAGGAAACGTGTCGAAATGTTTCCACCCGCCGGGAATCGAACCCGGGCCCTCCGTGTGTGAAGCGGGAGCTTTGGCCACCAGGCCACTTATTAGTGCTTGTAACTGCAAAATAAGTCACCATGGACCCCAAGAAAGCTTCTAGTGCTATCCCTGTGGTAAAAAGGGTGAGAATTAGTATGGAATTGAAAAAGAGATTAAGGAAATGTGTGCAAAGTGGGTTGAACTGCAAACCTTTACAGATGAAAATCACCCTGACACAGCTACTGCAAGCCGTGTTGGCAACCTGTACAATGACAATGTTATGGCCCATTTTAGGAAAGTCTTAAAGGAATGGGAGGTACAGAGCTCTATGGACAGATTTGTTGTGCAACAGAGGTCCAGTGACTCTCAAGCTGGTACTAGTGGTATTAAAAGAAGGGAAGTAACCCCGGAAAAGGACTTGCTACCGCAAGTCCTAATGGAAGGGGATTCCCCTTCTAAACAATAACTTCCACACTCTCCCCTCCTCCCATCCCATCAATCATCACCAGATCTTCAATAAAGGTAAGTGTCATGTATTCTATTCTTAGTAGCGTAGTAATTGTGCATGTCTTCTTCAGTTCGTGTGTATTAAAATTAATATTTCATGTGGTAAAAAATTTTTTTTTTCATACTTTGGGGTGTCAGGAACGGATTAATTTGATTTCCATTATTTCTCATGGGGAAAATTAATTCGGCTAACAATAATTTCGGCTTACGATGAGCTCTCAGGAACGGATTAATATTGTAAGGCGGGGGTCCACTGTAGTTGTGTTCAGGTCACTGCTCCCACAATCCAGTCCCACGCCAATGACCTAAGTGGTAATTATGATCAATTTGATCTATCAGGCAGGCATGAGTTAAACAGAAAAAAAGGAATTATAAGCTTTACAAAGTGTGCTGGCCTATTGAGTTAATTTAGGTGCCAACATACCTCCACTGAAACAATTTGTTCTTGTCTCTCATAGAGTGCTCTTGTGTACTGAGACAGGACAGTGATGAACTTCTTCAGTCTCTCAGTCTTATCAGCTGCAAGAAGAAAACCTTTTACTTTATTTATATATAGCCCAAGCACATTTAATGAAACTTCATGCAGTAAATAACAAAGATGAGTACAAATGAATGACCAAAAATGATAGTGTTTGTAATTTAATACAGTATCTCTTTTTATCTCTCAGTAGAGCATAGTGGATATCTCATAATTACTGTATCTTGTTACTTTAATCCTTGTACTGTATTAATCTATAGATCCTCTATATGTAGTACCTTTTCTGTATTTGTAATTTGTCACATTAATTACTAAAATTAGCTGGAAATTCCATCAAAAACTTACCTTACACAGTTTTTCCAAGCCTTGCACAGGTCTCTATGAGTTCTTTTACTTGTGTAACTTACCTCAAGGTCAGCAAGACCTGGTGGCCCAATAATCAACCAGGCTATTAGCCAAGCCTACATAGCCTGGCTGATTTGGCACATCCTGCACAAACACATCCAATTTCCTCTTACAGATCTCTAACTTTGTTCTAGCAATGCTGTTCTTTAGCCAGTGTTATTATTATTACAATCATGGGGGGAGAGGGTCATACAGCACCAAGGAAATGGGAGGCAATCAGATTCAATCCAATTCTTTGGGTCAAGATTCTTTCACCATCATCAAGGTCTACCAGTGGGTATTCCTTGATGGGATACTTGCTGGTAAATGGATGAAATACTGACCTCAGATACTGACACATTTTTCTATTTGTGCTTATGGCACCCCCTCTTTGTCACTGGATTTATTCTACACCAGCAGAATTACTGGTCATTCAAGAAGTCATTAACAATTATAACACCGGGAAATATAAAAAAAAGCAACATTGTCAGAACAAAGTTAGAGGTCTGTAAGAGGAAACTAATGTGTTTGTGCAGGATGTGCCAATTAGCCAAGCTACATAGGCTTGGGTAAGAGCTTGGTTGACTGGGCCACTAGGTTTGCCTGACCGTGATCAAAGTTACAAAAGTAAAAGGACTCTTAGAGACTTGTGTAAGGCAGTTCTGCCTGGGAAAAAAACCAGCAGAATTATTGGTCATCAAGAAGTCATTAACACAATGCTCAACATTTTTTAACCATTGAAAAGCATTTCTTGCCCAGTAACTGAGCTACTGTGCCGATAAATTTCTCCAAGTGATTAAAAGTACTTAAGGCACTAGGACCATCTGGGTCTCAAGGTTGACATGATTTTAAATTTTAGGTAGTGGACAAAAAAGTTTGGGAACCACTGTGTTACAGGATTGAACCATTCAAATTAATTTTTTTTTTTACTTGCTACGTGTATGAACCATTAAAGAACACTGCTTATCTGCTACATATCTGACCACTGTAAACAACTGCTTACCTGCAATATGTACATTCTTCAGATATTCTTTCTCATATTTAGCAACTGGCACAATTTTTGGCATGTTGTGGTAACATACGCTGGAGATAAAAACAAATTAAAAACTTCAATTCAAAAAAATGGTGTCTCATACTATTCATACACAAAGAAACAAAGAAACACTATTTTTTTATGAATGGCCATTTCCAGCAAAGGCAGGGTGACCCAAAGAAAAAAGTGCATTTGTCATCGTTCATTCAATCTGTCTTGCCAGAAGTGTGCTGACATCACAATTCAAATTATTCCCCGACTGCAACATCCCTACCCCTCCTTCAGAGTGAAGCCACTGCCCTTTCCACATTCAGGAGTCAAGTTCTGCTAACCAGTTTCCCTGAATCCCTTCATAAAAGTTGTAATAAAGTTGGTAGAATTACCGACAATATGTAAAGTAAAAGGACACAAGTGCAACCAATGTGACATTTATTGTGGCAACATTTTGCTCTCCAGGAGCTTTATCAAGCCATTACAAACAATACATGGACACAGAGGGTATATAAAGGCTCTGAGTGAGGTGCAATACTAGTGAGGTACTATTTCGATGTTCACTAGTGGTAGTAGTAGTAGTAGTAGTAGTAGTAACAAAAATAATACAATATGGAAGAGCAATTAATTCGTACATGAGTAAAAGGATATAAAAGCTATTACTTGGGTAACATAAAAATAGGTTGGACAAATATAGACTGGAAAGAGGCAGGTTTTTTCAGTGTTCACTCTGTAATGTGCTTTGTGTAGTATAACAGGAGAGACTATGTGATGGCAGGGTTTACTGTTTTCAGGAGCATTCTTGCTAAGACTTCGGAGATGGTGAAGCTGCCGTTGTTTTGTTTAATTGTATTCGAAACAGCGATCAGTGCTGATTCAAGGCACTTGCGTCTGCGGAAATTAGTTTCTTTGATCACTAATTGGGCGTCTCTGAATTTCATGAGATGATTGGTGGAATTTCGGTGTTGTACACAGGCATTGTTTAAGTTGTCGTTCCTACATGCATAAATGTGTTCATTGAGGCGGGTGTCGAGGTTTCTTGCTGTTTCACCTACGTAGATCTTGTCACAGCCTCCACAGGGTATAGTGTAAACTCCTGCATTGACTGGTTCGTGGTGCTTGGGTTTTGTCCTGGTTAGATCCTTTATTGAAGTGGTAGAAGCGATGGCGACTCTGGTGTTAGCTTGTGAAAGTACTTTTGAGACGTTTAGTGCAACCTGGCTGTTGGGAAGAATTATAACTTTGTTGGGAGCGGTGTTGATGCGTGGAGAATTGATGATCTGAAGAGCTCTTTTCTTGCAGTCTTTGATGAAAAAAGAAGGAAATTGTAACTCAGTGAATGTTTGGTGAATGTAAGTGCATTCCTCGTCAAGAAACTCAGGACTACAAATTCGGTATGCTCTTAGGAAAAACCCGATGATGATGCCTCTTTTGGTCTTGGTATCTTGACTGGAATAGAAGTGTGTGAGATCATTTTTATTGGTGGGTTTCCGATAAACTTGAAATCTTAGGTTGTTGTCTACTTTGTGAATGAGGACGTCGAGGAAAGGTAGCTTGTCATTGGACTCTTCTTCTAGTGTAAACTGAATCGCTGGTTCAACTGCGTTGAGCCTTGCCTGAAGATCCCGTACATCAAAACGTTTTGGAGTTATTACGAGGACATCGTCCACGTAACGTAACCAAGTGACTCTTGAAGGGATGATGTTGGCGAAGTGTTCGGACTCTAGGTGTTCCATGTATAAGTTGGCTAGGATGGCACTTATTGGGGATCCCATTCCCATGCCGTAGGTTTGTTTGTAGAGCTTGTTATTGAAAGAAAAACAGTTGAAATTAACACAGAGTTCAATCAAGTCAACAAAATCTCCGGGAGGTAAAGGAAGATTAAGGTCCTGGTTGACTTTACGTCGTAGAACCTCGATGGCTTTTTTTGGTAGGTACTTTTGTGAAGAGGGAAGTCACATCCAAAGAAGTCACAACAAGAAACTAAGCAGTTTGGATGTGACTTCCCTCTTCACAAAAGTACCTACCAAAAAAGCCATCGAGGTTCTACGACGTAAAGTCAACCAGGACCTTAATCTTCCTTTACCTCCCGGAGATTTTGTTGACTTGATTGAGCTCTGTGTTAATTTCAACTGTTTTTCTTTCAATAACAAGCTCTACAAACAAACCTACGGCATGGGAATGGGATCCCCAATAAGTGCCATCCTAGCCAACTTATACATGGAACACCTACAGTCCGAACACTTCGCCAACATCATCCCTTCAAGCGTCACTTGGTTACGTTACGTGGACATGTCCTCGTAATAACTCCAAAATGTTTTGATGTACGGGATCTTCAGGCAAGGCTTGTTGCAACCCCTGAATGGGTTACAATGATTATTATGTATATATATAATGTATATTATCTTTTCATATAATTTTATATTGCTTATATTTGCGATAATAGCTAAATCGTAAATATATTGCTTTATATTCTTATTTGACTTATGTTGTTAGGATGTACATAATATGTGCTCAGTTCAAGTCTTGATTGTCAAACTACTGTAATTATCGCTTGTCGCTCGTTATACTGCCGGCTTCTGAGCTGTGCTGTCCACGGGGCTATCATGTGATCGAGGGGGGGGGTGTCCTCACCTCCCTTGAAGTTTTTAGTCTGCTCGAGACTCGCTTGGTGGTTAGACAGATTGTCTGTCTCATTATTCTTGTTAGTTCTGTAGAACTCTGTTCACAGAACATTGTATAGACTTAGTGATTTTCGACGTTGTACTGAGGTTGTGTGTCACATAGACACTCTGAACATCTCAGGTCCTTAGCTATAGCTTCTGACCTAATTTTGTACTGGTTTCTGTGTATTGTCACAGTCAGGGTTTTTCCTATGCTGAACATAGATTCAGTAGTATGGGAGTTTTGTAACTTTTGTGGAGGATCTGATGATGGTCCCTACTTAGTGTCGTTTTATTATCTCCTTGATGCTGATTGTGTCGCAGTCGCTTGTTATATGGCTATTGGGCTTAGCATTCTTTTCATTGTTCAAGCAGACTGTTCAGGTTGCCAGTCGGTCAAGATGTTATTTTATTTGAGGACTTTGTCAGTCACTTGTTTAAGTCTAGTCGAGTCGTGAGACATAGTGAACTACTTAGAGGACTTATACGCATACACAAACTTATTTGTACATATTTGTAATATCTTATTAAATGTTAATGTACCAGACGGTACTTATAAATGTGATATGTGCTTTCAGCACAATAATATTGAACTCGTTAGATTGATTTTATTTTGATTGCTGTGATTAATTTAATTTGATAATATACCTCTAGACTTAATCAATTTATTAAATTTTAATTTCTCTAGTTAGTAGCCTACCAGTTGTAATCCTGAAGCACTATTAAATCATACTGAAATCTAATGGATAATTGGACAAGGATACTGACTACTTGTTACGAAAACCCAGTAACAGGCTGGATGCTAGAAGGGCAGTCCTTTCTAGTATTCACTGGAGATCTCTAAGCTTTTAAAATCGCGTTTTTTGTAACAAGGCTCAACGCAGTTGAACCAGCGATTCAGTTTACACTAGAAGAAGAGTCCAATGACAAGCTACCTTTCCTCGACGTCCTCATTCACAGACAACAACCTAAGATTTCAAGTTTATCGGAAACCCACCAATAAAAATGATCTCACACACTTCTATTCCAGTCAAGATACCAAGACCAAAAGAGGCATCATCATCGGGTTTTTCCTAAGAGCATACCGAATTTGTAGTCCTGAGTTTCTTGACGAGGAATGCACTTACATTCACCAAACATTCACTGAGTTACAATTTCCTTCTTTTTTCATCAAAGACTGCAAGAAAAGAGCTCTTCAGATCATCAATTCTCCACGCATCAACACCGCTCCCAACAAAGTTATAATTCTTCCCAACAGCCAGGTTGCATTAAACGTCTCAAAAGTACTTTCACAAGCTAACACCAGAGTCGCCATCGCTTCTACCACTTCAATAAAGGATCTAACCAGGACAAAACCCAAGCACCACGAACCAGTCAATGCAGGAGTTTACACTATACCCTGTGGAGGCTGTGACAAGATCTACGTAGGTGAAACAGCAAGAAACCTCGACACCCGCCTCAATGAACACATTTACGCATGTAGGAACGACAACTTAAACAACGCCTGTGTACAACACCGAAATTCCACCAATCATCTTATGAAATTCAGAGACGCCCAATTAGTGATCAAAGAAACTAATTTCCGCAGACGCAAGTGCCTTGAATCAGCACTGATCACTGTTTCGAATACAATTAAACAAAACAACGGCAGCTTCACCATCTCCGAAGTCTTAGCAAGAATCCTCCTGAAAACAGTAAACCCTGCCATCACATAGTCTCTCCTGTTATACTACACAAAGCACATTACAGAGTGAACACTGAAAAAACCTGCCTCTTTCCAGTCTATATTTGTCCAACCTATTTTTATGTTACCCAAGTAATAGCTTTTATATCCTTTTACTCATGTACGAATTAATTGCTCTTCCATATTGTATTATTTTTGTTACTACTACTACTACTACTACCACTAGTGAACATCGAAATGGTACCTCACTAGTATTGCACCTCACTCAGAGCCTTTATATACCCTCTGTGTCCATGTATTGTTTGTAATGGCTTGATAAAGCTCCTGGAGAGTGAACCGTTGCTACAATAAATGTCACATTAGTTGCACTTGTGTCCTTTTACTTTCATAAAAGTTACATTGCTCACACTCCAACAGCACATCCATTAAAAACCACTTGTCTTCACTCACATATATCTCATACAATTACACCAGTCTACTGGATGTTCAAGTCCCTAAAACTCAAAGCCTCCTTTACCCCCTCCCACCAACCATTCCCGGGACATTCCCTTTTCCTCTGACCTTCCACCCCAGATTTATACACCCTCTTCATCTTCCTATTCCTCTCTACATGGCTAAATCACCTTAATAGCTCCTCCTCACACCTCTGAATTATATCCTTAGTGACACCACATTACCTTTTAATTTCTGCACTCGGAATTCTCTGTGATATTCATGTTACATCTTTCTCTCAAATATGACATCTCCCTGTCTCTAGTCTCCTTTTTGTTATAGAATTCAAAAGTCTATCACTTTTATTTTGCAAAAATCTCTCGTGTGTTATTTTGTTCTTATCTGCCCCTTTATCTCCTCATTCCACCAATCATTTTTCTCTTCACTTGTACCTACCTCCTAGACCCACCAATTTCTCTTTCACACTCCAGCAATAAATTCTTAAATTTACCCAACACCTCCTTGACCTCCTTATTTTCTGTACTTTCTCTAGCCCACCTTTCCCTCCCAATACAGTGGTACCTCAAGTTTCGAACAGCTCCCAACTCGAACAATTATGCAAGTGTATTTTTGTAAGTGCTTTTGTAAGTGTATTTTTGGGGGTCTGAAACGGACTAATCTAATTTACATTATTCCTTATGGGAACAAATTTGTTCAGTATTGGCACTCGAACAGCCTTCTGGAACAAATTAAGTTCCTAACTCGAGGTACCACTGTAGTAACTTGCATCTTTGATATAACAATAGATGGAGACATTCACAATTTATAACACATCTACTTATTAAGTAAGAAGAATTAATATATTTTCTCCATGGGGAAAGGGAACAGAATTCTTCCTCCATAAGCCATGCATGTCATAAGAGGTGACTAAAATGCCAGGAGCAAGGGGCTAGTAACCCCTTCTCCTGTATAAATCACTAAATTTCAAAAGAGAAACTTTCGTTTTTCTTTTTGGACCACCCTGCCTCGGTGGGATATGGCCAGTTTGTTGAAAGGAAAATTTATATATCTTGCACCTATACAAAAAAAAGCATTACTGTATTAGAAAGGGCTGTATCTGAACAGCACATGCATTCACGCAACACTCATTGCACCATTATGATTACTTTGCTAGAGTGGTAGTTGAAGCCAATCCATATCATCTGGATGGTCATTATTATTTTTCATCCAAAAAACTTTGAAAAACAAAATACATACCACTGTTTAGGATGAACATCACTAAGATGACTATCAACAAAAAGAATATATTTTAATTAATACATAATGTAACTGCGTTTTGATTTAGAATCTTATTCACTCAAAGTATTTCCTCACCACATAACTTCAGTCAAAGCCAGCATCTGAGGAATTAGCTACTTGCCTGTACGTGTTCTCATCACTTGTTGAGAGTGTTATCAAAAGCGTTGAAAAAACCGTGTTAAAAGATGGTCGCACAAATTTCAGCAACAGGTTTCCCTCTTCAGTCATGTATGCCGATGTGGTCTCTGTGAAAAGCAATATATTAGTTAATAATTTGTTTTTTGAGGAAGAAAATGCTTCTTGGAAAAATTAAGGCAATGAAGGAGATGAACAAAAGTAGTCTTCCTGCATCTAATACAAAGAGCTCAAGCTTAAAATGCACTACAGTGAACCCCTGGATATTGGCCAAATCAGATTTCAACCACTTTTTTGGCCGAAATTCTATCCTGGATTTCGGCCAGCAACTCGGAAATTGGCCATACTGGACGCATCCGCCTGCCATTCTGCCGCGTGTGTGAGTCAGTCTGGCTGTGTCTCTAGGTGAGTGAGCAACACTCCACACATTCATCCAAATATTTCGTTACAATCCATTGTTTTTTGTGGTTGTTTATTGAGTGCGACTGCAAAATAAGCCACCATGGGCCCAAAGAAAGTTCCTAGTGCCAGCCCTCTGGTAAAGAAAGTGAGAAACACAATAGAATTCAAGAAAGAAATTGTAGCAAAGTACAAAAGTGGTGTACATGTGCTCCAGCTTGCCAGGATGTATGGGAAGTCGAAATCAACAATCACTTCCATCCTGACAAAGAAAGTAGAAATCAAGGAAACTAATGTTGCGAAAGGGATAAATATGCTAACGAAACAAAGATTACCAATAATCAAAGATGTGGAGAAGTTATTGTTGGTGTGGATCAACGATAAACAGTTAGCGGGAGATAGTGCTGTGGAGTCAATCATTTGTGAAAAAGGCAAGGCAGTTGCATGCAGATCTTGTAAATAAAATGCCCGGAACGAGTGCTGCTGTTAGTGAATTTAAGGCCAGCAAAGGCTGGATTGACAGATTTAAGAAGTGTAGGTGCACACATAGTGTTGTAAGGCATGGCAAGGCTGCAAGTTCAGACAAATGTATGGCTGAAGAATTCATGCATGAATTCAAGGAGTACGTAGAGGCTGAAGGATTCTTCTTCTTCTTCTTCTGTTGGGTTTCAGGGCCACTGACAGCATACGCCGTATTGAGCCCGGCTGTCCAGTGCTAGGAGAGGAGACATCGACCAAAGTGGAAGAATGTCTTGACTAATAACTATGTATCATATGTCTCTGATACGCCCTGAAGCCAGCCGGAAGGAGCAGGTACAGGCCAATATCTCCTGACAGTCCAGAGGGCGAAACCCCTCCCCGTTGAAGAGGATAGGTAGAGTGAAAGTGTTCACCCCAAGCGTGCGCAAGGCCGCATGGAGAGTAGTCCATGCAGTGATAACGTGGGCACCACAGCAGGAAGTGTTCCACCATCCCAGGCTGTGAGGGACACCACAGGCAGTACAGAGAGTTTGTCATCCGAAGGCGGTACAGATGAGCCGCCAGTAGCGAGTGCCCGACTCGAAGGCGAGTCAGTGCAACGTCCACCGAGTGGTTGGGATGGCGAGCCCAAGGGCAGGGGCCATTAAAAGTTCGGACAGAGCCCAACGCCGAAGAAGAGAGGGAGTGTGCAAGGCCCTCTTGCCACTGATGATGGATTCCCTTCCAAACAGCCCTTGTGAAATCACTGTGGCCCAGGGCAAGAGGGGTAATAGTAGGAAGTGTGTGCACGAGGGAGGCCGCCCAATCTGCCACTTCATTGCCCCAGATTCCAACATGGGCGGGTACCCACTGAAGGGAGATGCTCCAACATGGGCTCCGCAAGAAGCGCAGGAGGAGAGACTGTGTCCGACGAATGAGGACGTGCAGTGACCGTGGATGGGCAGAGCACAAAAGTGCCAGGGAAGGTTGGGAATCAGAGAAGAGAACCAATGGTTGTGGGGGAATGTGATTTAGGACAAAAGCCAGAGCCTGGTGAATGGTGAAGAGCTCCCCTGCCAGAACAGAATGAGCAGGGCCCAACCGCCAATTTTGACAAAGGGAGAGATTAGCGAAGAAGGCCGCAGATGATGTAGAAGGGGGGGAGGACCGTGCCGAGCCATCCGTGTAGACGGAGAATGAAGAGCCATATGTAACAGAGTGAAACTCTTCAAATAGAAATGCAACTAACTGAGGGGGTTCCCTGTTCCTGTAGTGCCAATCCAGGTGAATGTATCGTGTCAGGTCCAGCCAGGGGGGGTGCCGGAGAGTGGAGAGGGGAGTGAGTCATCACAAGTGCAGGAAGTGTAAGGCAGGTCAGGGAATGCTGGGCCCTGGCTACAAAAGAAGGCTGGGGGACAGAGGCTGTCTCCCACATCTGTGAAGAGAAGCAAAGGGGTGAGTACAAGGCAGAGAGGCCATATGATGGAGTCGTAAACAGTTCCTCACTGTCCTCACCGACGAGAGAGGGACTATCCCCGACTCTGCCTCCAAGGCTGCGATAGGGGTGGAGGGGAATGCCCCCAGCATATTACGGATGGCTGAATTCTGGAGAATGTCTAAGCGATGAAGAGAGGAGGAAGAAGCCGAGCCATACACCTCACTTGCATAAGTGAGGTTGCTGCAAACCATAGCTGCATAGAACCTATAGAGAAGGTCTCGATCCGCCTCCCACTTGGTGCCAGAGATCCGGCGCATAAGTGAAATGCGACGTGCACACGAGAGGTGGAGGGCCACTATGTGTTTCTTCCATGTCATGAATGGTGCATCTAAGGTGACTCCCAACCAACGATGAGAGGAGACCAAAGGGATTGGCGTCTGGTTCAATGAGACTGATGGAAGAATGGGGAGTCGGTGTTTAGTAAAGCATAAGAGCTTGGACTTAGTGTCACTAACCTCCAAACCCCAGGTGGTGGCCCATGATGTTAAGCGTTGCAGGGCACCCTGAAGTGTTTCCTGCGCTGTCAGTAAAGCCGGGGCACTGCACATAAGGGCCACATCATCTGCATATACCAGGGTATGCATTCCCTGGATGGAAGGGAGATCCAACAATAAGACAGAGAAAAGGAGTGGGCTAAGAGCAGATCCCTGGGGCACTCCCCAGTATACAGGATGGGGTGAGGACAAAGCGCCACCCACTGCTACATGAAAGGTCCTCCCTTGCAAAAAGTTGCGCATCCAGCAGAGGGGAGCTCCTGTCAACCCCATGCAGGCCAGCTTGAAAACAATTGCTGTGTGTGATGCAGAGTCAAATGCTCTGCGTAGGTCCAAAAATACAGCCAAAAGGAACTTCCGGCATTCAATTGAAGTGTGCACGAGCTGTGTAAATTGAAGCAAAGGGTCGAGGGTGGATCGACCTTCTCGGAAGCCACTCTGGTTATCAGGCAGGAGGCCATGTTCCTCAGTCCACCAAGAGAGATGAGTAGCCACCAGTCATTCCAGCACCTTACCCAAGCAGGGCAATAAAGCAATGGGCCGGTAAGAGCTCAGTTGGGTATCATCCTTGCCCGGCTTTAAAATCGGAATCAGAAGAGCGCTTCCACATATCAGGGAAGACACCCGTATACCAGCTGGTATTGAAAACCTCCAGCATAGCTTCTGTACAGGAGGGAGGTAGATGTAGTATAAATGAATAGGGTAAGTTGTCCTCCCCTGGAGAAGAGTGCGAAGAAAGTTGGGAAAGTGCCCTCTGCAGTTCATGGGAGCTAAAGGGAGATGCCAGCACCTGGCAGTGAACCTTGGGTATGGCAGGTGGCAAAGGGCCCCATTTGATCACCTTACCCTCTAAGGAAATTAACACTCTAAGACCTCCCAAATATAGCAAGAAAATATGAGAAACTCTGACTATAAACATGAATGAGAGTTTGATATATTCATGTGGAAACAGCACACTCTTAAGGATCATGAAGCACCTATGGAATGAATGATAATAAATTTGATAAAAAGAAAGAGGAGGATAGCTCTATATTCTTGTATCAAGGGCCCTTCATTTCATCAAGCACCCCATTTCTTGAGGAGTGGAAAATAGTCAAAACTCATCAACAACTTCAAGGATATTATCTAACAGCTTCTGTAGTTATAACATCAAAGCAATTACCAAAAAATTCTATCCCATCATTCCCCATATAACTCTCTCTCTCTCACACACACACACATACAAAAAAACTTATGAAATGCATACCCAGAAAAGCAAGAGCCTGCAATTCTGTTGAAATTTTGTGGTAATCTTGTAGAAGGTTATGCTGCGGTACTGTCATGGTAGCAATGGAGGGAAGGGATGCTCGAAGTTCTTCAAGCTCTGTAATGGTTGAGCAGGCCAGAATTTGCTGCCATGCATCAGCCTCCAGAGCGGTTTCATCAATTTCATTCTGAAGTTCCTCCTTTTGCTGCATTAAATTTCTGGAAAAAATGTACCTATACTCCTACAAAAACTATTAATACACTTTTGCATACAAACATAAAACTCCTAACATTACAAAGAATCAAAGCAATAAAACCGAAGACTTACTTCATAATGTAAACAATTTATAGATAAAAAGTTAATGGTTGTGATAAAAAAAAAAAAAAAAAAAAAAAAAAAAAAAAAAAAAAAAAAAAGACGATTAGAAAGTTTTTAAAAATTATCAGTTTCTTATATGGCAATGTTTATTTTTATTACAGGAGGGCCCTGTTTATCCAGGTTAGGTTAGGTTCTGGGCTTCTCCTGTAAAGTGAAAATTGCTGTCAAGTGAAACATAGCCTTTTTATTCCTTTCAAAAACTTGATGACATGTTTACACTCATACATTAAGTCAGCAACAGAGCTAGGAAGGAAATCTGCCACTGATGGCAGGAAGATCCGGTATGCTCCCTCTCTTCTTCAGCACTGAGCTCTGTCCGATCTTCAGTGGCATTGCTAGGGTTGGTGTCACCTGGGGCGGCATCTTTGGTGTCACCCCCATGAAATCCAAGGGCAGGGGATGGGGGAAGTAAACTCCAGTTATGTCACTACTGCATGCCCAATGACTGATGTTTACCAAGGAGAACATTTAAGGGCCATAAACCGAACAGGAGAATACTTCTCAACTTCATTAATGATAAAATAAATAATTGTAGTAATATTGAGGAAACATAAACTCAAATACCACTTTGGGTACAGGCAACAGATCCTACATTTATTCATCTTCAACAATGCAAAAAAACTTGAAAAATAAAGAAAAACATTGCAGTATCAGAGAAACACTAGTTCTGATTTGACCTTGAATACAGGTAACATCTTGCCTTCAATCCTGCAAAATCATCTATCACGTCATCAAAATCAGTGCTGTCAATTGACCCATTTTCTACAGATAACATTGCTAAGTCAGAGATTCTGGATTGATTCACTGTCACAAGAAGCCACAGAAACACATATAGTAAAGAACAACCTCAGGCAGTGTGTGAGAGTTGGAAGAGATTCAATGAAATCCCATTCAGTTATGAATATTAGTGCATCCACTGCAGTCCAGTCCTTAACTTTTTCAAGATCAACATCTGCAGCTTGCAGGTGCCTCCTTAGTCTTGGTATTTCAAGCATAAGCTCATTCTTGCATATTTAATTCTTGCATATTAAGAGTTTTTTCCAAAATATTGTAAATCAAATTATCGATTTATCACAGTTTTTCGTATAGTGTCATTGATTTTATCTATACAGGCCTATTTGTACTCTGTATAATAGGCTATATAGAAACAAAGGATTTTTCTCTTATGTTGCTGCAGAACTGTTTTGGGCGTTAGTGTCACCTTCTTTAGAGGCACTATGGTGTCACCCGGGGTGGCCTTCCCTTATGACGCCACTGCCGATCTTTCAATGGCACCTGCCCTTGGGCTCGCCATCCCAGTCACTTGCTGGATGTTGCACTAACTTGCCTCAGGGTTGGGCACTCACGACTGGCAGTTCATCTGCACCGCCTTCGGATGATGGACTCTCCGTACTGCCCGTGATATGCCTCACTGCCCAAGATGGTGGCACACTTCCTACTGTGGTGCCCAAGTTACCACTCTGCACGGACTATTCTCTGTGTGGCCTTGCGCAAATTTGGGGTGCAATCTTTAACCCTACCTCTCCTCAATCGGGAGGGGTCTGACCCTCCAGACCGTCAGGAGATCTTGGCCTGTATCTGCGCATTTTTGCTGGCTTCAGAGCACATTAGGGATAGATAATACACAGTTATTCAACATCCTTCCACTTTGGTTGAGGTTCCTCATCTGAGCGCTGGAAGGCAGGGCTTGATACGGCGTATGCTGTCAGTGGCCCCATAAACCCCAACAACAACAACAGAGCTAGGCCTAAAAAATGCATATACAGTACACACATTACTTACCTTAAAATACTTTTGTCCTTAGCTTATAGTGAGAGGTTAAAATATTTATTGCAAAATGTCTAAACAAATGAAGAATTGGTATAACTGAAAACTGCTGCATTAGCAAAATACTGTAAAGTGAAGCACTGTAAAGTATGGCCCTACTGTACTATTATTACTCTTACATTAATAGGGAAACACTACAACCCAATGGGGAATGAGAGGTAATGAGTTTTGATCCAAGGGGAGGGTGGCTCCAATACCTTGGCTCAAAAACTCTCACCAGTATCAAGGCACCTTCCTGAAGAGTTTAGCAATGTTCATAATGCTCACCTTTTTTAAAAGCCAAGTAGATACAGTACTTCAAAAATCAATACAGCAACATAAATTGACTGTTTCTGTTTACTTTGCTTATCTTATTTTTTAAGGCAACCTTCATTCCTGTTATACCTGTACATTTTTTACAGCTCTCTCAATTATCCTTTTAGTACCTCCAAACCACATGTCTAACTATTCCGGGTACAGGTAGGTTTGCCAAGTCAGGTCCTGGCTCGGGTCTTCTCCATGTGGTGACTCATCAAATCAAATCAAAGTTTATTCTCTATAAGGATTACAATGCGGGGTTTACAGATTTTGGTTATTGTGTGGTTTGCATGTAATAAAATACTAATTACAGAGGGGGCCACTAAAACACCTAGCATGGCTAGGCATTTCGGGCAAACTTAGATTAATTCTTAACCCTAAATTATTGCAAATTGTGGAGTAAGTTGACTAAATACTAAGTGACTAAATACTAGTTTGTGAGTTTAGCAATGTGAATGCTTTTGTTTTGGCATAATACGTAGTTTTTATATTGGAGTATCACAGGCAAACTTGTGACTAGTTAGGAATCATTATTTTAAGATTAAGATACGTATTTCTGTGCTTATAGTCAAATGGGTGAGTGCTCCTTGTTGCCGCGCCATTATTGGGCCACATTATTATACATGTTACTCCTGTTCAACTGCCTCCCAGCATTCATAAGGGGAATTATTAACAGACCCCTAGCTGTCTTCAACAGGGAGCTAAACATGCACCTAAAGTCAGTACCTGACCAGCCAGGCTGTGGTTTGTATGTCAGTTTGCATGCGGCCAGCAGCAACATCCTGGTTGATCAGGCCCTGATCCACCATGAGGCCTGGTCATGGACTGGGCTGCTGGGATGTTGACCCTCAGAACATCCTCCAGGTTTACTTTTGGAGTGTCATTTGACAGTAGTCAATTTAATATCTTTTAACTTCTAGTTCTGTTACATACAAGCCAAATAATATGAATTAAAAATATTTAACAAATATTAAATATATTCCTTAACCCTTAAACGGTCCAAACAGATCGACGTTCAAATTCGTAGTGCTACAAAAGTAGATCTACTTTTTTTTACGTTTTTTCAAAATATAACAAAAAAAAAAAATGTAGAAAAAAGTTTTTTTTTACACATTTTCACATGTAAAACGGAAAAAAAAGATCTACATTTTTTTACATACTTTCAGATGTTGAAAAAACGTATATATACGCTTGGACCGTTTAAGGGTTAATCTCAGAAACCCGAATTCCCTTTCTAACCATTCACTTCCATTTTTTCCAATAGGCACACTGCCCACTCCTGGACATTAACTCAATATTATGGGATCTTCAAAAAGCTACTATTGTATCTGTAAACCTACTATGAGCATCTTTTTTTTTTTTTATCAAATTTTTATTCATCATTTCTCCAGATCTGTATATTCCAACTTCTTTTCCTCTTGTTAACATTAATGTTCACTATTCTGCATTACCTGGAGTTTACCTGAAGAGAGTTGAGGGGGGTCAACGCCCCCGCAGCCCGGTCTGTGACCAGGCCTCCTGGTGGATCAGAGCCTGATCAACCAGGCTGTTACTGCCGGCTGCACGCAATCCAACGTACGAGCCACAGCCCAGCTGGTCAGGTACCGACTTTAGGTGCTTGTCCAGTGCCAGCTTGAAGACATTTATGTTCATTTATTTTATGTTAACCTCAAATGAAAAATTTAGAGCTTAAATTAATAGTTTTATAATATTTCAATTAAATTACTGGGGTAATACTTATTCTAAAAAAGAAAAGGAAGTCTCACACTTGTAAAGACTACTGTAAATACATTTGATAATCATGCAAATTTATTTTTAGTATCTCTTAATACCACATTGTGAAGGCAGTGATAAGAGATAAAAGTTGAAGCTGTATATAAAACTGAAAAAATCACAAGTTAAAGCTGTATATAAAACTGAAAAAATCACAAGTTGAAGCTGTATATAAAACTGAAAAAATCACAAGTTAAAGCTGTATATAAAACTGAAAAAATCACAAGTTAAAGCTGTATATAAAACTGAAAAAATCACAAGTTAAAGCTGTACATAAAACTGAAAAAAATCAGAATTATATTATCATTATTTTCTTTTGGAAGTGCTAAACCCACAAAGGTCATACAGTTTTTGGTGAATGAAAGACAATAAGATTTGATTGAAGGAAGCAGAGGGTAGTTCCAATTCCTCATATCAAAGAGTCCTTTACCAGTATCAAGATACCCACTCCTCTTGAATGAAGCATGAAAAAAAAGTATAACAGTTTTACTATGGCATCAAAACAGAGGGACACTATACCTTATCTTTTCCATCATATCATCATAATCCATGTGGAAGACTGTATCATTGGACAACATCCCAGAGGGTATTTTTATCTTGTCAATGTCCATGTTGCTTGTAACAAGACTTGGTTGGCTAACAGGAATGGCTGTATACTATTACGTATCTAAATCTGAAAAATTATATGCATATTACTAAAAGTACACACTGTGGACTTTTTTTTTACTATGGCAGCTGAAAATCACAGTACGTAATTCTAACACATTGATTTACTATACTTTATTACTTTGAGATTTTATTTGTAAAATATAAAAATGTCAATCAGCTACTATCAAAATAAAGCCAAAATTACTTGTAATTATATTTAATCACTAACTTAATTGCCTCATCTCACCAAAGAGGGATCAGACTAATGGGAAGCCAGTCTTATGTATTATCTACTACAGTATAACAATCTGGCCTAATAAAATTTATCCACAAAATAAGATCACCATGAGGCCCATGGTAATTTCCCTACAAGAGGAGATATATGCATAACACACACACAAAAAAAATACACGAGTATCAATTGAATGATAAGAATGCTGTGGCTGAACTACCATATTTACTTCCAAACTGATGCATGCTATTAATAGCTTAGACATAATGAAGTATTATAATTCAATAGGCATGATACTCAATTGTTTTTAACAACTAGATGGTGGTCTGGTGGTCTGGTGGCTAAAGCTCCCGCTTCACACACGGAGGGCCCGGGTTCGATTCCCGGCGGGTGGAAATTCCAACACGTTTCCTTACACCTATTGTCCTGTTCACCTAGCAGCAAATAGGTACCTGGGTGTTAGTCGACTGGTGTGGGTCGCATCCTGGGGGACAAGATTAAGGACCCCAATGGAAATAAGTTAGACAGTCCTCGATGACGCACTGACTTTCTTGGGTTATCCTGGGTGGCTAACCCTCCGGGGTTAAAAATCCGAACGAAATCTTATCTTATCTCTCTCTCTTATCTAGAAAAGTTTTAAAATAATAGGGTTCTATCAGAATAAAGATTAAAATCACATAAACTTGGAGAAATAATATAAAACACTGACATGATGGTAAATGAGACACAAATGCAATATAATGCGATCTTTTGTGGATGCTTTTGCCAACCGTGTCGACAGTGCTCTGTGGCTCAATTGGTAGAGCACTTGCCTCACACACTGAGTTTCCATGGTTCAATCCCAAGTAAGGATGGAAATGTTGGGCATGTTTCCTTACACTTGCTGTCCCCGTTCACCTAGCAGTAAGTAGTCGTAGTGGTAGTAGTAGTAGTATTGATGATGATGATGATGATGATGATGATGATGATGATGATGATGATGATGATGATGATGATGATGATGATGATGATGATGATGATGATGATGATGATGATGATGATGATGATGATGATGATGATGATGATGATGATGATGATGATGATGATGATGATGATGATGATGATGATGATGATGATGATGATGATTGATGATGATTGATGATGATTGATGATGATTGATGATGATTGATGACTGATGATGACTGATGATGATTGATGATGACTGATGATGACTGATGATGACTGATGATGACTGATGATGACTGATGATGATTGATGATGATTATTGATGATGATGATGATCTTTATTTCTACAGGTACATACACAACTTATACAGGCCTAAATGACATCAATGACATACTACTATATAAAAAGCCCCTTGTTATGTAGAGCATTTTGGGCAAATGAGGCATTAGTTGAATGGTGTGGGTTGCATTCTGGGGGGACAAGATTGAAGGACCCCAATGGAAATAAGACACAGCCCTCAATGATGCACTGACTTTCTTGGGTTATCCAGGATGGCTAACCCTCTGGGTTAAAAATCCCAGGGAATCTTAATTATCTTACTGTATTTGTCTCTTATTCCATCATACAAGGTAACATCATGGAAGAGCATCAAACCCACAGAGGTCGTGCAGCACCTGGGAAATGGAAGGCAAGTAAGTAAGTTTATTCAGGTATACACAAATACAGTTACACAGATTATCATGCATAGCAGCATATGTGTAGAGAACCTAGGATAACCGAAAAAAGCCAGACAGAGTGACTTATTTCCACTGGGTTCCTTTTACCTTATTATTATAATATAAAGGTTATAATATTTTCTTATTATTCTATAACGAAGATAACATCTTATTATCATACTAAAAAGACTATCTACTACACAAGAGTCATTAAGACTATCTACAATACAAGGGTCATTACTAGGAATAAGGTAAAATTACACGACTGTTAGCTAAAAAATAATAAATCATTCCCCTCCCTTTCTGTAGCTACATTCATCAGACACCTTTTGGCACTCTTCTTGAACTGGTTCATGCTATGACTGACTTTGACATGTGCGGGTATCTGTTCCATTCCTTTATTGCTGTACAATAAAAGGTGTTTGAAGCCTGGCCACTGACTGTGGGTACTACAAAGTTGTGCTCTCTCCCCCTAGTACTATGATTGCTTTGGTTCCCAACCTTGACAAAATTAATAGCAAGATATTCTGGACACTGTGAGCAATTTTATAAACATGATTTAGCTTCAGTTGTTTTACTCTGTCTTCAACATTCAGCATATCCAACTGCTGTAATTCATCCTGGCCTACATGTTCTCTTGGTCCCAGCCCCAGGATGAATCTTACGATTTTGTTCTCGGTGATTTGCAGTCTATTTTTCAGATTTTTTGTCAAGGCAGAGTACCATGAAGAGCAAGCGTAATCCATATGGCATTGTATAAGGGCTAGACATAGGGTCCTGCGAGCCTCAGTTGGTAGACACTGTGCTTGTCTATACAGGAACTTCAGTCTGGCATTCGCTTTCTTTACTACACTGTTCCTTATCAATTCTCCTGACATGCATGGGTCAAAGGGAATTCCCAGATATTTTACTGATGAAACCAAAGTGATGGGCTCCCCATTACACTGGACATTAAAATTATTTACCCTTCTCAGTTTATGTTTCATGCCAAAGAGAATGGCTTCAGTTTTCCCGAGGTGTAATGATAGTTTGTTGTCTACTAATCATTTGCTGCAGGACTCCAGTTCCAGAGTTAAAACATTAGTTATATCTTGTGGGTCTTTACCTGACACTAACAGGGCACTGTCATCTGCATACAGTAGGAGTTTGTGCTTGACAATGATAGACACGTCAATGACAGGCAATCAGATTTGAATGTAGGAAGGGCAGGCTTGATCAAATTCCTTGGATCAAATTTTTAAAACATGATGTACTGGCAAGCCCATGTTCATCTAGCAGTAAGTAGGTACAAGAGGGTTACCTGAGTCTTGTGGTCCAAGGGAGAGGAAAGCAACTCAGTTTCCTTAGATCAAGAGTCCTGCAGCATCACATCACTCCACAATAAAACAGAATACTATAAAACAACGATTATCTGGCAGATGAGAGTGACAGACTGAATAATTTATTACATGAGGGAGCGCTAAACCCACAAGGATCATACATAGAGTAGTGTAGTCATAATGTCTTAAGGAATGGAAAATTATTAGATTTGATCCAAGGAAAGGAACCCAATGGAAACAATTCACTGTCTGATTTTTTTGCATTATCCTAGGTAATTTACACTATTTGTGATAATTGTACTTATGTGTACATGTACCTAAATAACCTGGTAGGCAATGCTCTTGCCTACCACTGTCCATGGTTCAATCCCCGGCATGGAGACACCTGCTGTCCCTGTTCACCTAGCAGTAAGTAGGTACCTGGGTGTTAGTCAACTGGTGTGGGTCGCATCCTGGGGGACAAGATTGAAAGACCACAATAAAATTAAGACAATCCTCGATGATGCACTGACTTCTTTGGGTTATCCTGTGAGGCTAACCTTCCGGAGTTAAAAATCCCAACAAAATCTTAATATAATGAAGAGCATCATACGTGGCGACAGACTTGAGCCTCACTAGACACCGAATTGGACAAAAAACATTAATTAATTACGTAAGATACTCCTACAACTTATTTATAACCGTGAAGGTGCTAAGTAAAGTACCTAACCAACAATGTGACTGCAACAACAACCCCCAGGGGATATAAGTCACTACTCTGACATTTTTTGCCGTCCACCAGGACGTTGCCATGTCCCTAGGACAGCTCTCCATCGGGCTGCTAACGGAGTCACTGGCTTCTTGGACCTCTTGGGGAGGGTCGATGGTGCTCGTGCAAGCAGCATATCCCGGGGCAACTTGCTGCTGTTTGCAATGGCTGTCTGCCGAGGAGAGACAGGCACCTAGCAACATCTGTTGTTGGGGCAATGGATGAATTCCCTACTATGTTTGTTTACTGCTCATTACTCTGTAATTTGTCTATGATTGTAATCATGTGATAACGTGTTTATCATTCATTACCTTTGAAACTTGTCATGATTTTGACCAGCTCTACCTGGAGCTCATTACCTTTGTAAATTCTCATGATTAATGTGTTTATGATTCATTACCTTTGCAATTATTCATGAGTGTGACCAGCTCTACCTGGAGCTCATTACCTTTGTAACTTGGTCATGATTATGACCAGATCTAGTTCATTACCTTTGTAACTTGCTCAGCTATCAAAACTTTGGAGTCCAGTCCCTGGACCAATTATGTACCTCTGTAATCTTTTGACTACCGCCCACAGGATGGGTATGGGGTGCATAATAAACATATTAAACTGAACTCTGACATTTTTGGGTTATCCAAGGTAATCTACACATATGCTGCTATATATGATAATATATGTAACTGTATTTATGTGTACCTGTACCTAAATAAACTTACTAGAAGCAACAACAACAACCTCACTCACTCATGTAAACAAACTTTGTATTTGACGCCCAAACAACACAACGTCACTTGACGTAACTCACTACATACCTAATATTAATAATAATAATAATCATGTCTATTTTTTCAAGTACATTAAAGTAAGAGTAACTAATAAGTAAGTAAATAAGTATGTAAACTAAATAAGAAAATAAGTATGTAAACTAAATAAGTAAATATAAAATAAGCAAATAAGTATATAAGTGAATAATAATAATAATAATAATAATAATAATAATAATAATAATAATAATAATAATAATAATAATAATAATAATAATAATAATAATAATAATAATAATAATATTTATATTTCTACAAGTACATTAAAGTAAGAGTAACTAATAAATAAATAAGTATCTAAACTGTGGAAAATTGCATTTAGCTGTATGTATCATTATATACATAACAGTAAATGAACAAAGATAATTATTATTTATCAGTTAGACAAGTAGGAATTTGGGACACCTAGGTCACAAAAATGTCCCCCTTCGATACCTACCACTGTCATATCCACAAGTTGCTCTGGACCTATTAATTATAAATGAAATATACATACACCAGGAATACTGGTAAATATATAAATTTGCGGACTGTATGTTAAAAATAATAAATGGTTATATATATACACAATTACATAACAGAAGGAAAATATATCTTAATATCACTCACTAATTTGACTGGAGATTAATGTGTATCATACTCAGAAAACCTCACTAACTAAATCTATGAAAATAATGCTGGCCAGAATTACACACAAATCTAGAGAGCTTATCTGAGGTTCCTGGAGCTGTCTTGTCCAGTCGTCTGATATCTCAGGTTATGCAGGAATGCACATCCATCAATTTCGCCTCCTATTTGAGAGGTGTCAGCACAATTTTAACCTCTAGAGCACGAAAAATTCTTCCCATTACACCAACGTTTGTACAAAATTCAAAACCAAGATGGCGAGTCTCGTCTGCGCAGACGCAGGCTTTCCGTTTTCTATGACATAAATATTATTAAATACAGTATGGCCATCTATTAACATATAAATACTGAATTTCTGTAAAATATATACGGCATTTTCCACATAAACTAAATAAGTGAACTAGAAGGTAAATAGTAGAAAGCTAAGTAAATAAATGAGCAAATAAGTGGGTAAATAATAATAATATTTATTTCTACATGATACAAGGTATACAGTCCTAGCTGACATCAATGACATACTACTATATAGAAAGCCCCTTGTTATTCAGATCATTTCAGGTAAATTAAGTCAATTTTGTCCCCAGGATGCGACCCACACCAGTCGACTAACACCCAGGTACCTACTTGCTGCTAAGTGAACATGGGCAGCAGGTATCTTAAGGAAACACGCCCCCAATGTTGTTACCCGTACCGGGGGTCGAACCCGGACCTCAATGTGTGAGTTGAGTGCGCCACCAACCGAGCTATGGGGCACCTACATAAGAACATAAGAACATAAGAACGAAGGAACACTGCAGAAGGCCTACTGGCCCATGCGAGGCAGGTCCAAGTCCCTACCGGCTTAAGCCAATGCACCCAACCTAGTCAGGTCAGGTCACATTGACTTAAGGGAGGAACACGGCAACCGACCTGTTAGCACAAGCTATCAGGTCCAACTCACACCCACCCACATCTACTCATGTATTTATCCAACCTATTTTTAAAGCTACACAACGTTCTGGCCTCTATAACGGTACTTGGGAGTTTGTTCCACTCATCCACAACTCTATTACCAAACCAGTACTTTCCTATATCCCTCCTGAATCTGAATTTTTCCAACTTAAAACCATTGCTGCGAGTCCTGTCTAGGCTAGATATTTTCAGCACACTATTTACATCCCCTTTATTTATTCCTGTCTTCCACTTATAAACCTCAATCATATCCCCCCTAATTCTACGTCTTTCTAGAGAGTGCAGTTTCAGGGCCCTTAGTCTATCCTCATAGGGAAGGTTTCTGATACATGGGATCATCTTTGTCATCCTCCTTTGTACATTTTCCAGAGAATTTATATCCATTCTGTAATACGGTGACCAAAACTGTGCAGCATAATCTAAATGAGGCCTAACCAAGGATGTATAGAGTTGAAGAACAACCTGAGGACTCCTATTATTTATGCTTCTTGATATGAAGCCAAGGATTCTATTAGCTTTATTGCGAACACTTATGCACTGTTGTCTTGGTTTCAGATTACTGCTAACCAGAACTCCTAAATCTTTTTCGCAATCCGTAATATTAAGATCTACATTATTTAGTTTATATGTGGCATGGTTATTGTCCTGTCCAACATTTAGAACTTTGCATTTGTCTATATTAAACTGCATCTGCCACTTCTCCGACCACTGCATCAGTCTATTCAAATCTTCCTGGAGTGCTCGAATGTCCCTCGTCAGAATGAATTCGACGGCCTATTTTGGTGTCATCGGCAAACTTGCCGATGTCGCTCTTTATGCCCTCATCTATGTCGTTTATGTAGATTGTGAACAGCAGGGGCCCAACACTGACCCCTGTGGAACACGCTCGTGACGCTTCCCCACTCTGATTTCTCCCCATTTATGCAAACTCTCTGCTGCCTATTTGTCAACCATGCCTCTATCCAGGAAAAAATTTCTCCTCCTATTCCATGTGCTTTAATTTTCCTCAATAGTCTCTGATGTGGGACCCTGTCAAAAGCCTTACTGAAGTCCATATACACAATATCATATTCATTACCATGATCTACCTCCTCAAATACCTTAGTGAAAAAAGTTAATAAATTCGTAAGGCAGGAACGCCCCTTTGTAAAACCATGCTGAGATTCGTTGATTAATTTATGCTTTTCAAGGTGGCTACGAACTGCCTCGGCAATTATTGATTCCATAAATTTCCCACTATGGAGGTTAGGCTTATTGGTCTATAGTTCGAAGCTAAGGACCTGTCACCTGTTTTGAAAATAGGTATCACATTTGCCATTTTCCACTTATCTGGCACCATGCCAGTTTGTAGTGATATGTTGAAAAGATTAGCCAAAGGTGTGCTAAGCTCCTCTTTACATTCCTTTAGAACCCTTGCATACAGTTCATCAGGGCCTGGGGATTTGTTAGGTTTTAATTTATCTATTTGCCTAAGGACCATGTCACTTGTGACCCTAATAGTGCACAGTTTATTATCGTCCTGTTCTACATAATTTATCATTACTGGAATATCGCTGGTATCCTCCTGTGTAAAAACTGAGAGGAAGTATGTGTTAAAAATTCTACACATTCCTTATCACTGTCAGTGAGCTGACCCGAGGAACTTTTGAGTGGGCCTATCTTGTCCCTGATCTTACTTCTGTATACCTGAAAGAATCCTTTTGGGTTAGTCTTCGATTCTCTTGCAACTTTAACCTCATAATCTCTATTTGCTTTTCTAATTCCCTTTTTTATTTCTCTCTTTAACTGAATATATCGATTCTTAATTGCCCCTCTCCTCTTTTGATTTGCCTATATATGCCTCTCTTTTGACCAATCAGATATTTTAATCTATTGTTCATTCCATTTAGGATCATTTTTGTTTGATCTGATTTCCCTATTTGGAACATAATTTGACTGAGCAGCTAGAACTATGCCCTGGAAAGCATCATATCGGCAACCATCACCACCTACCTGACCCCTAGTCAGGTCATTCCAGTTCAGCCCACCATAAGTAATTTTTCAGTCCTATGAAATCAGCCAAGCGAAAGTCAGGGACGGAGACTTGATTGCCATTATTAGGGGAATTCCATGATATGTTAAAACTGAGTGATTTGTGATCACTCTCCCCAAGCTCATCATTAACTCAAGATTATTAATTAGTGTTTCCCTACTGGCAAGAAACCAAGTCAAGGAGGTTATTTCCCCTAGTTGGCTCTGTCACAAACTGTTTTAAAAAACAATCCTGGATCGTATCAAGAAAGTCACCCGACTCTAAATTTCCTGTCAAATTGCTCCAGTCAATCTGTCTATAGTTGAAATCTCCCATTAGCACAACATTTTCGTATGTAGATGCCTTACGAATTTCGTCCCATAGAAGTTTACTGCACTCCCTATCAAGATTTGGGGCCCTGTAAATCACACCCAAAATTAGTTTTTCTCGGCCCTCGAGAAGCTGTAACCAAACAGATTCAGTGGCTGACGCTTCTAATTTAATATCTTGTCTAACACAACAATTTAAATTGTCTTCTGACATACATCGCTACTCCACCACCTTTCCTGTTGACCCTGTCAGTGTGGAATAATTTATAGCCTTGTATGTGACATTCAGAGGGCATCTCTCTATCTTTCAGATTGAGCCAGGTCTCTGTTATAGCAATAATATCTATGTTTCCTGCACTTGCAATTAATCTTAGCTCATCTATCTTATTTCTAACACTCCTGCTATTAGTATAGTAAACCTTAAGGGAGCTAGTCCCTTGCTGCCCTCTGCTGTCCCCTTTGTTTGCTGACCTGTTCTATTGTCTTTATTTATAACTTCATGCTGAATGCCTTTTATACATTTACTGTTTCCAACCTAGTGTTGCAACCTGCTTGTTTCCCACACACACCCATACCTCTATCTTCCATCAGTTTAAAATCATAGGCATTTCACAATGGCCTTCTCAATCGAGTCTGCAAGTGCTACCACCCCTGCCCCAGAGAGATGAACCCCATCCCTTGCATACATATCATGTTTGCCTAAAAAGTTGTTCCAGTTGTCAATGAATGGGATTGCAAGTTCCTTGCAGTATCTGTCTAGCCAGCAATTTACACCAATTGCCCTAGACAACCATTCATTTCCTACTCCCCTTCTAGGCAAGATGCTACATATGATTGGGATCCCTCCCTTAGACTTAATGAAATCTATAGCTGACCTGTACTTATCTAGCAGCTCTTCTCTCCTACCCTTCCCAATATCATTTCCACCAGCACTGAGACAGATAATGGGCTTGTTCCCATTACCTGACATGATATTATCCAGTCTGTTTGACAATGTCCCCAACACCAGCTCCAGGGAAGCACACTCT